CATGAAACATGACAGGGTTTTTATACATCACATAACGTTCTTCATGATACAGACCTCATGTATTTTCCTTTCTTCATTTCACATAATTCTTTGCTCAGGACCTCACACTTCAGCGTTCTGAATCTCTAGTATGGACTGTGATAAGAATTGTACGAGCTCTCAATAAAATAATTTTTAAAATAAAGAAAAATATTACTTATTATTGATATTACTTTAGCTATAACAAATATTATCTCCAAATTCAAGCCAATAATAACAACTATTCCTACAGTTTTTGAATTACATAAAACATCAAAATAACAGGAATAAAAAATGTTAAATTAAAAAAACACATAATCCAGTCATTGAGTTGATTCTGACTAAACGTGACCCTAAAGCGCTAAGTAGAACTGTCCCCTTGGGTTTCAGAGACTGTCAATCTTTATCAAAGCACAAAGCGTCTTCTTTCTCCTGACATGAATACTTCCTGAAATAGTGTCAAAACCACCATTATTATGCTCATTGTTAACATTGAGTTAATCCTCTTCTATTCGATCACATTCAAACAGCAATCTAACTGCTACCAAGTCTATGCCAACTCATAGCACCCCTGTAGAACCGGGTAGAAATGCCACTCTGAGTTTCAAAGCCAATACATTTTTATGGGAAAGCCTCATCTTTCTTCTACAGCCTATTCAGACTTGATGGAGGTTAATTCTTATTTACTTTGTCATTTAAACTCTTAGATAATTTTCTACATATATGGGTAGTTATATTTAGTGTTGGTTTACTTAATTCACCTCATATTTATTTCTTGTCACTTGACATACACAGATAATAAGCCAGAAAACTGCAAATAAATAAAGACCAATTATTTAAAAACTCTGGTTTTAACAATAGTAAGTTAAAATTTTTTGAAGAATACTTTTGCTAAATATAAAAATTATAGACAGATAGATATATGATAGATAGATAAAGTTAAAAAAAAACTTTCATGTTCTATGAATTGATTCTGACTACACATTTTGGTATATGTTTTAGTAAAGGTTTCTATCATAATTTTAAGAAGTAAACTATTGCATCTTTTCAGCGTTGTTATAAAAATGTATGGACACAAATATTATTACGGAGTCATTTTCTTGGCTTTCCTTGCATCCAGGACTGTCTCTTGAGCAGCCTTCCTCGTGTTTACGGTCTCACTGAGGTTCTTGGCTCCTTCAGGCAGTGCGCTTTGTCCTGTTAGGCACTCCGTCTGCGAGTGGAGGGGTTTTCGAAGCTTGTTCCAAAGCTTCTACTGCTCTGTTGCCCACCTGGTGAAATCATACCTGAACCTGCTCTTGCTTGTTCTGAAAGTGTTACATTGTGTGCTTGAGGTACCACTCCAACTTCTTTTAAAAAATTACCAAAAGCCCTTTTTGGATACATAATCGTTTTTGAGGAGGATAAAGGTTTTGGACACTCCTCGCTTTGCCAATGACGTCTTTGACAGTTCTCCCGATGTCGCCTGATGTAGAATGGCAATGACCTCATCTGAGTTTGTTCCGGGAGCTAAGAAGTCCACAGCTTTCCTCAGTAATTGCAGATGAACTTCTGACCAAGTCGCTCTACCAATCGGCCCTCCGCCGGCTGATTTCCTAGCATTAGCAGATGCTTGCCACAGACGAGTCTCTTTTCTTTCTCCTTCCTGCTTTGCTTCTTGATGTCTTGCTTCCAGAGACGGCGTCCTACTTCTGTTGCAGCTGGACGGTGCCATTTAAACCCCTCCAGCTTTCCCGTTCACACGGGTCGCTGTTTCTCCCCTTCTTCACTTTTTGTAACCCCCTTAGCCTCTTTGTCAGAAAAGTGATTCCAGGTCTTTCCATGAATTCCCAAGCTTTTATCTTTCCCTCTAAATGGCTTCACCACCTCCACCCCCCATCCCCCACTGGACACCTTTCGCTGACTTTGCCAATAGTATTTTTTGTCTAAATTCTTCCTCATCCTTTTTTTTCACTAACTGAGCAGCTTCTAACTCAGCTTGACATTGCTTTCCGTTAGCTTTTTGCTTCTTCCATTTTTGCTTTTGCTTTCTTTGCTTATTCTTTTTTTTCCTTTTCTTCCTCCTTGAGTTTTTGTGGGTTGTTTTTTTTTAACTCTTGGACCACAGTCACGTGCATTCAACCAATGTTCATATTCAGTTCTTTTCCTACTTGTTTGGGCCTTGTTGCTCTATTATTCTTTACAATCCATCTTCTCTCATCAAATATTTGACCTTTTCCCCTCTTCTTCATCTAAATAAGAAAATTCTCTCCAAGAATAAATATTATACCAGAAGTCAAATGCATCTACTTCCTCAAAAGATGGACTCATATCACCCAGTAAGTACAATTTTTTTTAATGTGATCAACTGTAATTCACCTCAAACATGGGAGGAAATCACCTCCAAGAAATTGTCATTTGCTTTACTTTTGGAAGGAGCTGAATTATCAAAATTAGGATCTAAACTGTTGATCTTTTCACTAAATCAGAGAACATCTCAAAGCGTTAATTGTGCAAGTGAAGCAGTCATTATTTCCTTCTTTGATTGGTTCACCAGCTGCCTTCAATTTGAGTAATGTTTTAATCTGTCTCTGTAATCTGTAATGCTTTAATCTGTGTAGCTTTGCTATGTCCCAAAACGGCATAATTATGCTAGTCCTTCCAATTTGGGGGATCAAGTGTTTCCAGTGAGGGAAATAGTTATACTCTATACCCTTCATCTACTGAATCTTCTGATAACACATTCTTATCTTCAAGTTTCAAAGAGACAGAGAAACACTTATGTTTCTCTTCTTAACAAAAGCTCCCCTTTGGACCATCTTCTCACGAGTTCCATTGGACAGATTTTAGCGGATGGTGGTGGTGCCTGGGCCACATGCAGCAGCAGGCAGGAGCTCAATGAGGAGCCCAGCTTAAGAGCAGAGCAACTCGGGGTCTTGACAGAGGAGAGTTTGCTTCTATCTTCTTGTGGAAATACTTTATGAATTTCCTTCATATTCCACGTATTTATACTTTTAAATAAATAGGATCCCCACCACTTATCTATTAGTGTGTGTTACTGTGGTGGCTTTTGTGTTGTTTTGAAGCTGGAAGATCTATCACTGGTATTTCAAATGCCAGGAGAGTCACCCAAAGTGAATGGGTTTTAGCAAGTCCTACAGAATAAGAATAGACAAAAAATAAGGGCTTAACTCCCTGCTTGGGGGGGAAGGAACCACTGAAAACTTTATGTTTAGCTTCAAACTACTGTCATATACTGAAGACATAATGAATGGAAGCAGACATTGTTGGAGACGGCCCCTGTGGTTGTGACATTGCAAATGTAACTGGGGAGGAGCTGATCTCTCAGAGTAGAGTCAGCCACAGTGCCCTGAGCTGGGAAAAGCCTATGGTGGAGGAGCCTTCAGGATAATCATTTGTTTATTTCGCATGACTCAAGTAAGAAGAAAGTTGCAAATAATCTGCTAATAATATGAACTTGGAATGTGCAATTTATGAGTCTAGGAAAGTTGGAAGTGGATGCAAATGAAATAGAATGCATAAAGATCAATATCCTAGGCACCAGTGAGCTTATATGGACCGGTATTGGCCAGTTTAAAATAGAAAATCATATGATTTACTATGAATGTGGAGTACAATTTCTCTCTGTGATAAAATTTTATCAGTGACATTTCAAGGAAATCCAATCAATACAACTGCTGTTCAAGTTAAGCATCAAATGCAAAAGCTAGTGATGAAATTAAATAATTTTACCAAGACGTTAGTCTGAAATCGATCAAACATGCAATCTAAAAGTATTGATAATTATGGGTGATTGGAATGCAAAAGTTTAAACCAAAGAGAGAGGAACAGTATATGGAACATATGGACTTGGTAACAGAAACAAAGTAGGAAAATGCATAATAGAAATTTGCTAGGCCAAGGACTTGTTCATAGAAATTACCTTTTTCAACAACACAAAAGTCAACTATACACTTGGATTCTCCTGAACACATAGAAATAAAATTGACTACATACATGTGGAGAAACTCAATACAGGCAGCTAAAAGCAGCCCACGGACTGACTGTGGAACAGGTCATCAATTGTTCCTATGTAAGTTAAAGACAAAAATAAGTAGTCAAAATATGACCTCAAATCTCTTCCACCGGGATTTTGAGAACATATCAAGAAGAGATTTGATCCACTGAACACTAAGCACCAAAGACCATGTGTTGTGGAAGCACATCAAGAGTATCATTCATGAAGAAAGCAAATGGTCGTTAAAAAGATGGGAAATAAAGAAGAGATTCTGAAATTTGTTCTTAATTGTAAAGTAGTTAAAGCACTGAAAGAAAGCATGAAGTCAAAGAGTTGAATAGAAAAGTCAGCTCGAGAAGACAAAGCCAATTTTTATAATGAAATGTTTCAACAAGGTAGGAAGTGCTGGGAGCACTCCCTGGACTATGCTAGGCCATTTAGAATCCAGCTACTTGGCTAAGTTACTGGAAGAGATCCATATTTGTGCCCATTCCAGAAAAGTGACTCAACAGAATGCAGAAACTATAGAATAGTATCACTGATGTCACATGCAAGCAAAATTTTGAAGTTCATCTAACGATGGTTGCAGCAGATAACCTTGAGAAGAATTAGGATTCCAGAGCAGTTTTATTGTGCTCACAAGGAGCTCATATATAGACCAAGAGGTATTTGTAAGAACAGAACCAGGGAATACTGCATGACAAGGTTGTATCCTCTCACCATACTCATTTTATATATATATAAATATAAATATATATATAAATATATATATTTTATATATATATATATAAAATGAGTATAGATAGATAGAGAGAGAGAGAAGAGAGAGAGAGAGAGAGAGCAAATCATCAGAGATGCTGGCTTATATGAAGAAGAATGTGGCATTGGGATTGAAGGAAGGGTTATTAATAATCTGTTATACGCAGGTGATACAATCTTGCTTGCTGAAAATTAACAGACTTGAAGGTCTTCATGATGAGGATCAAAGATTGCAGCCTTCAGTATGGATTATGACTCGTGACTTTCCCAGGGCGAGGCTTATACATTGCACTGCGGATGTGCTGGCCCCTGTGATTTCCCCAAATGTGGGAAACTCAACTGCATAATTTGTGGTAGTGGGGAAAAGAAGAAAAAGAAAATATCATGGACTGCTAAAAGACAAACAAACCTATCCTGATGAATTAAGGCTAGAGTGCTCTTTAGAGGCGAGTATGGTCGGACCTTTTTCTTACATACTCTGGACACATTGTCAGGAGACACCTGTCCCTGGAGGACATCATGGTTGCTAAAGGGAAAGGTCAGTGACAAAGCCCCCGGTAAGATGGATTGACACTGTGACTGCAACAATGGCTCAGGCATGGGAGCATTGTGAGGATGGAGAAGGTCTGTGTGGTGTTTTCTTCTGGGCATAGGCTTGCTTTGGCCTGGAATCAACTGGAAGGTGCCTAGCAACAACCAAAACAAACAACACTAAAAATACACAATATTGTCCGATGTTTTTTTATTTAATTATTTTTCTTTTTTTCAGATGTTTTATTATGATGATCATCTAATTATATTGTGAACCATAAAAATCAACAATTTAATGAAATTCAATAAGTTCATTTCCCAAGAATTACAATTTTAAAATTGCATATTCTTTAATATAGATGCACATGCAGATATATACACAATTATTTTAAATCTGCTTATCAATTTTTTCTATCAGATTATTCTAAACATTATTGAACATTGAAAAAAAGTCCAAGAATTCCACACTAAACACCCTTGTATTTGTCACCTAGTTAATATAATTAAATTTGTGCTGCCATCTCTCTTACACCATGGTAATTTTACTTGCAAAATGAGCAATACAGTGTTACATTTCTGCTTTATCACATATCAATCTCTAATTACTTAAGCATTCATAGTGTATACTCATTTCCATGGAGTGGACTCTGACTCATAACCCAAAAAGCAGGGTAGAACTGCACCTATGGTTTTCCCTGGCTAACATGAGAGATTACTAGGTCTTACGTGCCAAAACAACGAGAATTCTGGTCCAGACAAGTTGACGCAAAACCTTAATAATCTCATGTGCACCTCACAAATTTTGATATATTGTATTTACATTATAATATGTTTAGAATACTTTTTTAAAATTCCCTTGGAATTTCTCTTTGTTCCATAATATTTGGAGGTTTGTTGATTTCCAAATATTTGGGTATTTTCCAGATATTTTACTTTAACGGAAAGAATGGTGTGCCTTCTGACCACCACCTCTTGTTGTCACTTATGTGAATATGGTATGCTACAGGGAAAAGAGATTTGGAAAATTCTATAAAGGTTATTGATCAGTTGGAATTCAGATAGAAAGATTAATCTGAATTATTTAGATGGGCCTAAAATAAACACCTGATTCCTGAAAATCAGAGAACATCTTCAAGAGAGGCCATCAACGAGATGGAAAATGTGAGAGGTGCTGGACTCAGATGGCTGTGGAAATAGAGCTGGCAATGAGCCACATCATGCAGGAAGCTAACAGGAGCTAAGCCTATCCCTGACTAATAGTAAAAAACAAACAAACAGACAAGAATCTCATTCCTGCAACCACCTCAAATTTAATTCTGCCAAACAGCTTAAAGGAGCCTTTAACTCTCATATGGATTATATCCGGTGTCCAAGTTACAATATACACTTGGCTTAATCTTCAAGAACTTTTGACATTTTGATCTCTCTCATTTCCTTGTAATAATATGAGTGTTATAAGAGTTATAAAGGTGATTTCTGGGCAATTATCATGAGTATATTTAGTCTGAAAATCAGATTTCTGCACTACAAATTTCTAATTAAATTAATTTAATCATATAGCTGCAAGAAGGGTACATTGCTGGTGTAGCATAACAAATTTGAATTTATAAAATATGAAGAAAGCTTTAGAATTATCAAAAAAGCAGTCCATCTAGAGAGCATGAGACTACACTCTTCATTTTTCCAATAATTTTGACATGATACTTTGAATTTATGATAATACATAAAAATCTACAGTCTGACTATTTTGAATGATATATGTCTGACAGGAGCTAAGAGGTGGGCTGTGAAAGTGAGGTTTTGCATCAACTTGGCTGGGCACTGAGTCTCAGTGGTTCGGCAATTATGCGATTACATCATTTCAACAGCTATATAATGATGTAATTTGGAAGCAATGTAATGATGTAGTGTTCCTGCATTTTGTGATGTGATCTGGCTTTCCTCTATTTTCTCATAATGCCAATTTTTCATAACTTTAAGGAGTGTCCTTAAAGGAGATAGTCAGCGGTTCTCAACCTGTGGGTTGTGACTCCTCTGGGGGTCAAACGACCCTTTTACAGGGGTCACCCGATTCAGAACAATAGCAAAATTATGGGTATGAAGTAGCAACAAAAATAATTTTATGATCGGGGGGTCACTGTATTAAAGGGTCGTGGCATTAGGAAGGTTGAGAACCACTGTGCTAAGTGGTTGGTAATCACAATATGAAAAAGACATAGAGAAGGAGAGAGACTTGACAGCTACAGAGAAACACATGATGCAGAATCCCTTTATGTTGCAAAAGATGGGCTGTCTGCTCCCATAAATGTTTACAGCCTCGTAAGCCCAATACAGGGTTACTAGGAACAGGAATCAACTAGATTGTGAGGGTACCTAGTCTTTGGTACGTAGACCATGCAGCTCCATCAGGAATGGATGTATGAGTCCTACAAAATTTAGCACAAGTAAGGTTTTCTTTAGTCATAACAAATAAACAGGTGCATACAAATGATCTGATAAGTATTTAAGTTACTCAATATGTGTATTTTATCAAATGTTCCTTTAATACCAGAAATTATGTGAGACAAAGTCTGTAGTTCAAACTAGATATAATGTTCAAGTATGATGAACTTACAGTTTGAATAGCAGAAGCAGGTATATTTTTATGCTATTTTCAGGAGCTTTATCATCATAATCTATAGCTAAATATAAATAAACCTGTATTTCCTCTAAAGCACCACCCTTTTCCGATGCCTAGGTAAGATAGATATACAAATGAGGCAGTCACTAGGGAAGAACTTCTGTATGTGCATACTTTCATAAATAAACTGTCAGAAAAGTTCTTTTGTTCATATTGCTTTCCAAATATATTTTTGTGGATGTGAAAACTCTGATGCTATACAGATTTCCACATTTTCATGATAATGCACACAATCCCTGGTAGTCTAATGCTGTTGTGGTCAGTGGCTAACCAAGCACATAGACATTGTTGTTGGTTTGAACCTACAGAGCAATTTTACAGGAATAAACATGGTACTCTGCTTCCAAGATGATTAAAATCACAGAAACCCAGTGGGTTCTGTTCTGTGAGTTGTGATTGCCACGAGTCAGAATCAGTTCAATGGACATCAACATCAGTTACAATACGCAATCTTATTTACCGTAATTCAAAATAAATATACACACTATCCTTCATTTAAACCATCAAGTTTGGTAAGTAATGCTACAAGTTGAGCATATATAGAAATCCCAGGAGAAAAAAAATTGATTTGCCTTCCACTTTTTTGAGCATTATACTTTGGTTTATATAGCTTGCAATTTCTTCTCTAAATATGGAGAATTTGAGGAAACTAAGATTGAGGCCACACAATAAGGATAATAACACATGTGAAAAGATTGCCCACTTCACTTTCAGCAGCATAAGTGTGAATTATACTTTCTTTCCCTTGAATTAATCATTTTGCTATAAAAGATTTGTGAAAGAAGCAAGAATGAAAATAAGATTGCAAAAGTTGTGAAATTAAAGGTGTTAAGATAAACTTATTTAATTCTAAATGAAAACAGGAACCTCAAACAAAAACACTATCACAAACTCTTGACTTAGAGAGAGAAATGCATCAAAATCCCCAAAGCAAATGTGTAGTTTCCATGGATGTATTAGTGTGCGCAAATAGCATAAATATATCAATATAATTCAGTGTTTTGATCTTGATATAATATTTAACTTTCTTATGATGATAAAAGAACTCCAGATAAACAGCAATGGCAAATTTAATTCCACATGCCTTACGAAAATATGAGACATATTAAAGAAATAACTGTGACACACACAGCTGTTGGTTTGCACCCCGTGGCGATCTCCATGAGACTAGGTATCGATCTTGCTTAGGGGCTAGTGCTGAGAACCTCATCCAAAGAACGTGTTCCACTCCAGACTCCTCTCTCTTGGTGGTAGTGAAGTCTCTCTCCCCTTGTTCACATTTTCCTCCTCTTAGCTCTCTTGAAATAAAAGGTGATACAGACCACGCTCCTGGGAAATTGCCTCTAAATTAGATCAATATAAGAGTTTTGCATTCCACTCTCATGGTGCCTCATAACTTCCCATAGGGTAATCTCCTACACATTCCACCGCAATAACCACAACTAGAGATTAAAAGTTTACAACACCTGGGACAATGGTATCAGATGACAAAAAAACAAGGCAACTACACAGTACTAGGAATCCTGACCTAATCAACTTGGGGCATATTTTTTTTGGGGGGGGGAATTTAAACCACGATTAGATAATGTATCATTAAAAAGAATAAATTCCTCATGATAATCCATATAATGGTTATGATTTATAACAAAAGCACACATGTGGTACACATTACCAGAAGTATTTTAAATTAATTTATATGATATTCTGTTTATATAACAAATATCTTTAGCTAATTTTTTGCATTTAATTAGATATAATAATTAATATCAATGAGAATCAAGTACCTTGAAAATACAGTTTGCTATCATGATCCAAATTCTACCTTACAAATTCAGTTAGACCAGAGTATGTACATGGCTACAGATGAGAGCTGGAAACACAGGGAATCCAGGACAGATGAACCCCTCAGGACCCATAATGAGAGTAGTAATACCAGGAAGGTAAAGGGAAGGTGGGGGGAGAAAGGAGGAATCGATCACAATGATCTACATATAACCCCTTCCCAGGGGCCAGACAACAGAAATATGGGTGAAGGGAGACATCGTTCTGTGTAATACATGGGAAAAAAAGTATAAAGTATGAAGGATTCATGAGGGAGGGAGGGTGCGGGAGGGAGGGGGGAAATGAGGAGGTGATACCAAGGGTTCAAGTAGAAAGAAAATATTTTGAAAATGA